ATTCATCCGCCCAGCACTAGATTTCTCCCACCAAGTAGCCTGTTTAGATTTTTGTCTCTCTATTGAAGTTCTCTGCTAGGCTTTTGATCCTGAGGTTATCTATTGGTTTTAAAAAAACATGTCTTTGAATATCCTGTCACGTTTGAATTTAAATGACCTTTGGTACACAGATCTCATCCTGGCCCAGTCACAGCACAGTAAAAAAATAGACCCAAGTCAGAGAGGAAAAAGAAATAAAAAGATAGAGAAAGAGAGCAAATGTGTGTGTGTGTGTGTGTGTGTGTGTGTGTGTGTGTGTGTGTGTGTGTGTGCGAGAGAGAGCGAGATAAAGAGAGAGAGACAAACAGACAGAAAGAGAGTGAGAGAGAGATAGAGAGAGAGAAAGAGAGAGAGAGAGAAAGAGAGAAAGAGAGAAAGAGAGAGAGAGACAAACAGACAGAAAGAGAGTGAGAGAGATAGAGAGAGAGAGAAAGAGAGAGAGAAAGAGAGAGAGAGAGAGAGAGAGAGAGAGAGAGAGAGAGAGAGAGAAAGAGAGAGAGAGAGAGAGGGAGAGAGGGAGAGGTGGGGGGTGAGAGACAGAGAGAGGGGCAGGTAGAAAGAGACTTTTGGAGGTCTTTCAAAGGTGCTCAGATTTCAAGCCTGCGTCTGTAGGGCTGTCACACGCAAGAGACCCAAGTTTGATTACCGAATGGGGAGATAAAATATTCTCATCAAACATTTTGGTCTTATTCCTGGGACGATGTATCCCTCTCAGCTCGGGTTGTCCCTGCAAGAACTAGTCGGAAATCCGCCTCCTAAATGATCTAAATTGAATCGATGGGGGCGTAGAAACGCAAACATTAAATCAATGGTTCGGATTTCAGGACAAAAAACAACAAGCACACCAATGTCAGGCTATTTTATCCTTGAGAAAAACTCATTGCTCTGATTTCTCGTTTAAACTTCTGTCAGCGTTTTGGTATTTCGTCTTTATGTCGTGGTTGAATCTAACCAACCCACTCTTCTGGGCTCCTGACTCTTTCCGCAGCCTTTCTACTGCTTCTCCGTGGCTCCTTCTTACTGCTGTCTTCCAGCCACACCCCTGGTCTTATAATAGGAAAGATCTACGCCTCATCTTCTCGGACAAGGGCAAAAAATCTCGGAGGTCTCGTGTGAAAGTCGCGCACGTTAAAGGTCCCTTGGTGGTTAAAAAATCGATAAGAGTAGGCCTACCAACTGCAAATTAAATGTTTAATGTGCCACGCGCGCTCAGCTGACCTTATGCAGTTGCGAACGCCATAAAACACCTTATGCAGTTGCGAACGCCATAAAACACTTTTAAAAATCCTAGAGACATCTCTTGCACCTCAACACATTTGTGTCATCTCTTGCACCTCAACACATTTGTGTCATGACGCAGTGGAGTAAGACACACGTCCACTTTTGGGCATGTGCCGTGTTTTATATCGGTGAAACAAATTTCCGTCTTCCTAGAACAGAAGTCGAAACATTTGCGATTGAAGTAGGTGGGATCACCTAGTTTCAAAGATAAGATTAGCGAGAAAATGGCCGCCAAAGTACAACTTTGTGCCTTAATCCACTTGTTTTCTTTCCGTAAAATCGAGAAAGAAATATGTTTTAGTGGACATAAAAAGTGTTTATTTCAAGGAGAATTGGCCAAAAGCCGTACGAATTGACGAGCACCTTATGTCACCATGATGCCACACGCCATTTAATGTTGGTCAACTCGCAACTGCATGAGGTCATATGAGTGCCAGAAGATTAGAGGTGTTACAAGAGAGTAACAAACATAAAAAAGAAGAAGGTGAGATAAGGACGATAGATGTTTGACAGGAAAGAAGAAGCAAACCACACCAGAGCACCTGCCAACCACTCACAACAAGATCTTTATCTCAGAGCTACTCTTTTCAGAAAAATGTAGCTGACCTTGTCATGTTATTCAAGAGTTAACACTCCTTGCATTTAGATGTACGGACACAGTTTTCACGGATGTCATTTCCCTCTTTAGAAAATCATTTATAGCGAGGTTTTCACCTTCTTCAGGAAAGTTTGATGGAAAGAGAGGCTGAGGCAGACAGAGGGAAAAGATACTGGACAAGATGACAACATGGCTGGGAGCAGCAAGAACAACAGACACCATTGCTGCATCGAAAGACAGATGGAAGTGGAGGTCCATGATCGCCCACGCCAGTCGGCAAGGCACGGAATGATGATGATGATTACCTTCTTCTAAAGGTTATCACCAGCTTATGATTGGCAAACTGTTCTTATCATCATCATCATCATCACCATCATCATCATCACCATCATTATCATCATCATCATTACTATAATAATAACAATTATTATTATTATTATTATTATTATTATTATTATTATTATTATTATTATTATTATTATTATTATTATTATTATTATTATTATCATTATTATTATTATCATTATTATTATTTTATTTTTAAAAAATAAAATTATTATTATTATTATTATTATTTATTATTATCATCGTCATTATCATCCGCGGCAACATTTTCCTGGCATGTATATTCTATAATATCATTCATGTAATACATAAGGAATGACAGATTGAGAGAGAGAGAGAGGGGGAGCGACAGAGAAAGTAGATAGATAGATAGATAGATAGATAGATATATATATATATAGAGAGAGAGAGAGAGAAGGGGGCAAGAGAGAGAGAGAGACAGAGAGATAGAGAGAAAGAGAAAGAGAGACAGACAGACAGACAGAGAGAGATAGAAAGAAAGAGAGAGAAAGAGACAGACAGAGAGAGATAGAAAGAGAGAGAGAGAGAGAGAGAGAGAGAGAGAGAGAGAGAGAGAGAGAGAAGAGAGTTATAAAAAATATAAAGGGTGGGGGGGGGGGCTGAGAGACGACGGGGGTTATGGATATACTTATTATTACTATTATTATTATGATAATAAATAAATCATTTTGGAAAGGGACACTACATACACGAAATTGACTTAAAAGAAAAAAAAACAAGTCGGTCAGTGAAAGTTGGGCTGGTCGTAAGAAATAGGTAGAGTGGAGTTCCAAAATCACCCCCTTCCCTCTAACCCCCCCCCCAAAAAAAAAAC